AAGTTTGCAAAGTGCTTAAATCAACCTTTCCACTGCTGTAAACATATTAAAGAGCCTAGGAATTGTTCTCCAACAAATGTGGGACAGTTTGGATGCATATGAGGCTCAGGGGATGGCAAGGAATGCTAACCAAGAGTACAAATCAGCCAAATGCCAAAAAAGACAGAAGACATGTCTAGATGCAACTGCTCACATATTAGCAGCAAGGAGGCTTTCAGAGTTAATAATTTCATCACAATCATTGACAAGCAGAAGAGTGCATTAGAACAATAGATATAAGCCTATGCTGATAATGACAAATCCTATAATGTCCTGGCAAATGTTTTTCCTAATATATGTCAAATTCCCAAGTCAGTAAAGGTACCAAATATCTGTGTCAGAAACACCCAGACAATCTTCCAATGGATTTTACTAAAGAATTTCAGCAATTTGTTGAATTTACATCCTTCTCGGATATTTAGAAAAAAGACAATGAAAGTAAACCTATTTGGATGTACTGTTATTATTAAATTCAATAAGATTGAATGTTTTCCAAATGTTGAAACTGCATTATGGTTGTATTTGTCACAAGAGATCACTAATAGTAGTGGAGAACATTCCCTGTCTCTTCTAAAAAGGGTCAAATATGTCTTACAACCTACTAGGAATTAAGACCATCTCAATTCTTTGTCCCTCTTGAGCATTGAGAGTGAAATTGTCAGGTCTTTGAATTACAATAACATCATTGATGAGTTTGTGACAGCCAGAGCCAGAAAAGTACCAATTTTTGTTTGAAGAAACAAGTGTATTGAATTTTTTATGTTTGATGAATTTATTTTAAATTTGGATAAATTTGTTAATTTTGGATAAATAAATAAATTTGTTTGATGAATTTATTAATTTTTTATGCAATATGTAGTACATACTTAGGCCCTTCCCTCCTATTAGCCTTAGGCCCCTCATAGCCTTAATTCCATACTGTATGTACACAGAACGAACACTATTCAAACACTGTATTATTCTTTGACTTGGAGGATTGCAGATGTTATTGCTCAAAATTGCAATCCTCAGCAAATCATGGTAGCAGCAATTTGTTATTCCATGAGAACAAATTCTATGGTATATTTCCATAGAAAAAAAAGTAAAATACAAATTTCACCTTTTTTGTCTTTATCAAGCTTCCATGATCTATTAAGTATAAGGTGACTGTAAGAGGCCATCACCAGTAAATCACCATTAAGTTTTGTTAGTACACATAACTATATTCCAGTGATAATACCTTTTCTTTGTAAACCCAATTCTTACATGTAAATTCTTCAAAAGCCAATCAGATAAGACTTTTACTGGCTGGTATGGTTTAAGCACACAGAACAGCATGAATTGGGAAGTTGTTCACGACGCTCTATTGGGCAATCCAACTCTCTGCAGTTTTCTTGTTCACAATGAACTGTACCTAACTGAATAATATGTTTACAGATTTAGCCATTTAAATAATATGAGACCTTTCTGTTAACTTTCACAAACTATGATAATATCAAGAGTTCATTACTACAAATGTCTCAAAATAAGATCTTTGATAATTAAGAGAATCTGATTTTATTATGTTTGATAACCATGTAGTGTTGATATGGAATAAAATTTATTCTAGAAAATATTATTTGCAATGTACATTTGTAAAATAATTAAAACATAAAGCATTTACATTAAATTAGAAAAACTATGAAAGAAACAACTGGTTCCTGTCTTTGTCTTGGAAAAAAAAAACTAACAAGATCAAGAAGAAAATACAGCAAGTAAAGAAATAAAATATGACTTGTAACTATCTATCACAATGAAACTGTCAATATACACATTTCTAAATTATTTTACATTAGTTTTTCACTACAATAAAAATAAGTTTTAAAATGTGTAAAGTTACTGCTGGCACTGACCTTACATGAGCACTTTTTACAATCTTCACCTTCTATGCTGAGAAATGTTTCTCCACTACTGTGAATAGCACCTTTATACTCACAAGCTAAATTGAGGAAACAAACAAATTATTTGTCATCGTCACAAAGCTAAAAAATAAGTTTGTAACTAGGCTAATGTCACATGCTTGAAAGTTGTCATTCTATGTTACTTAATAATACAGGATTGTCCAAAGAGTAGTTACCCAAAATAATATAATAATTCCAGTTAATTTTAATGTTTCAGATTAATGTACAAGTATATTCAAACAGTACAAAGGCACTAGCACAGACTAACAGAAAACTAATAAATATCATGTTAAAACAAGTGTTATCTAAACAGAACAGACTTAAGCTTGGGTCTAAAAACTTTTGGGCTGTCCTATATATGGCCATTATAGCATTTTTATACTATAATAACTAATAACAAAATGTAAAAAGTAAGAGTTCTAATTCAGATAGCTACAAGCCTTTGCATATATATTTTCTATTTTTTAAACTAAAAAAACTCTCATTAAAAAAAAGGAAATATTTTATTCTTTTCATCTCCCAGTTGAACAAGAAGCTAGTTAATTTTTTTAATACACAGATACTGAACTGGCAAAGTTCCAATTCTCCAATAGTGGACTTCTGGTTCATGCCTGAGTTAATGTTTCTTAATGTTTTTCTGCTGAATTACCTCCCTGATGTTACTATTTTCTTACATTGAAACTATATTTCCAATATGTACTTGCATCTTCTCACATTCAGTGATGTCCTCTATATGCATAAATATTTTTGCTCACCATTTGCCTTGAAACTACCACCTACCCCATGCTCAATGTGGTTCTACTGAGTTTTTGTATGCAGCAACCTTCCACCAATAGGAGTGTGACACACTCTCCTGACACAGGTTACTCCCTCTATACTATTCAGCCAAACCTTCACTTCAAGATTAGGCACAAAAGAAGCACCAGAAGTAGAGAGGAAGTGTGAGGAGTGGAGGTAAGTATCATATTAATATCTGATATGGTATCTTACTTCTTCTCAAAAATAGCTAGTTTACAACATTGAAAAGGTGGAGGGACAGGTGCAAAAATAATGCTACACTGGAGACTGTGCAACGGGTGATCATGGTAACCCTGTTTTGAAAAGCAGACCATTCCTGATTTATTCAGTAGAAGGAATGGCAGGGATGGGCAGCAATCCCCTTCTGCTGTACTCATGATAGTCCATGAGTTAGTATGGACTGGTATGGTCATAATTATGATGCAATATATTGCGAGGTGAAACTACTATCAGTCTCATGGCACAACCAGTCTCAACAGTCTGCATTATAGACTTGGAGAGAGGTGTATATATATATATATATAGGTTGGCAGGTCAAACCCCAGTAGTTTGATCAAGTAGGGTGCCCCAGCCAACCACTCTACTGATACAATTCCTTGCTACACAGCCTCTGGATCTCGACCCATCGAAGGTGGTGCACCAGAGGTACCCCAGCCAGTGATATATACATATACTTTATATATGAGAAGCCTTACAGTGTGGATTTTGCAGATGATAGCCAATAAGTATACTTGGACAAACACCTCTCATCACTGAATGGTATCCACCACCTATAAGGGGTATGACCCTCTATGAGAGAGAGAGAGACAAAAGTGAATCTACCAATTCACAGTTGAACAGATGAAAAGTAATATCCAGAGGAGCAAGAATTGGCCACATGATGTAGGAAGTGGGAAATGAATGTGTTAGATGCAGCCACATGCCAGACTGGATGATCTCCTCCAAAGCATGATGCGGATGATCTGCCAAGGAAAAGGTAAAAAGTTGGGAACCGGGAGATAGAGATGTATACACCAGCCAAATAAGTTGATGAATCCGACCCTTGTGGGTAAAAGGTGAAAGGTCTCCTTGAGAAGACTTGTTACATGGAATGAATAATCTGGAACAAGAATTATGGAAGGAAGCTATGCAAGTGATATAACAACAGGGCCTGAATGGGTCATGGAAGTCTACCTGGACACGCACAATAGTATAAATGGAAAAGAGAAGGGAGGGAAATGGTGTAAAAGAAGAGTTGCCCTTATGGACCACAGATATCTTAGGAAGGAAGCTATGATCTAGATAAAGAACACAGGTGTCGTGGTAAAGAGTACGTGAAAAGTTGAAGGTGAAGATGTACAACATCTAAGAACCACAGGCCAGGAGAAGTATGAAATAGGTTTTAATGGATAAATGATAGAGGGAACAGGTGACCAAGGTTTCAAAGAGAGAATGTGTAAGGGTGTGGAGAACAACATTAACATCCCAATTCAGCAATATTGTAGGATGTGGAGGGAGATTGATCTGGAAGGAACATAACAAAAGGAAAAGGTGGGAGAGGAAAACACTTTGCAGCACCTGGTAAAACAGAAGGTGTTGGACAAGACTGCATGATATCCTGCTATGGCACAGTGACCAGCAGCGAAAGGTCCACCACTGTCTCTGAAGAACCATTAGTGAGGAAGAGCGAACTGAATGGGACAAAAATAATACCACACATGTGGATAGTCCAGATCTCCTTGAAAAGAACCGGACAAAAGCCATATGTAAAGACTGAGTTTGGTAAGTGAACAAAAAAACCAACAATGCAGCAATGGAGGAGGGAAGGCAAGAGAAGAACAGGTAATAGGAGTGTCATTTGATAGAGGGTTAGAACCAAGAACCAGGACTTTGCCAGCCAGAAAGGTGCAATCAGAAGTACTCAACATGAAATGGACTGGATGGTGGATATCCCATGGGTAGGCATATAGGTACTGGTTAGTCCAGTCCTGACTGAAAGCATCAAGAGCCAGAGCTAAGGGATGAGGTACTGGGTACCAGAACAGGGATAATTTATTGTTATGATGTTTGGGCAAAAGCATCTAAATGAAGAATACCCCATTGTGTGCACAGCCACCGGAAAACCTGTAGGTGTAGGGACCGCTCCATTGGGATATCTGGTTGGGACGATAAAATGACACATGACCAGATTGAATGCACTTGGAATATGACACAGTGAGGCATGTGTGATAAACATGGGCCCAAAAGAGTAGTTCTAACATTTGGAAATAGAGCAAAAATGAATGGGTGCCACCCTATTGACTGATGTATCAATATGTCTTGTACAGCAGAAAGGAAATGATTCAAAGCGATGGCCAATTGTTCCAAGATGTTGATTTGCATGGTTGTCTTGACAGAAGACCAATGACCTGAAACCTCCAGATGCTCCAAACCTGCCCCTCAACCCATGAGTGAAGCATCTGTCAACAAGTGCAACTTTGGACAAGGATGTGGAAGAGGAACACCCATTGTGATGTTATCTCTGTCTAGCAACAATGTGAAAACGACTAAGAAGGGAGGTAAGAGATGGATAATGGAGTTCAAATGATCCCTAGCAAGGTTCCATTGGTCATGCAGCATTCATTGAAGAGTGAGCATATAAGCATGGCCTAAGAGTATATGAGCTTCCATAGAAGCTCCAGTCCCCAAAAGAGAAAGAATGTTGCATGCAGTGAGTATTGAAGATGTAAGGGCCTTGGTGACTAAAAACATCATCAACTATAGAGGAGAAGAAGGCTGGGCCCAACTTAGGTAGTAGTCAAACAATACTCCCAAGTGTAAAACCTGAAAAATGACAGATGAAGGAGCAGTAGTCACAACAGTGGCATTCATGACACAAAGTTCAGAATTCATGGTTCAACCGTGGTAATTCCACAAAAAATAAAGACAAATTTCTTAAGTTTACTTTCACTGAAAAGCACAAGTGAAATGCTTAATAAATTCAAAATTATACTACTACTTCGAGAAGCAAAGAAGAAAATATCAAGTGTGAAGTTGAAAACTTGAGCAAAACTGTGTAACGTCCAAACACAACTGTGCCTAAACGAGAAGTGAAGGTTAGGCTGAACAGTATAGAGGGAATCACAAGCATCAGGAGAGTGTGTCATGCTCCTATTGGTGGAGGGTTGCCACATACTTATTTGCATGTAAAGACACAGTAGAACCATGTTGAATGCGGGGTATGTGAGATTTTCAAGGCTCGTGGTGAATGAAAAAAATATGTGCATACAGAGGACAGCACTGAATGAGAAAAGCTATTATATGAGAAGAGGTAATATATCGTATCAGAAGTAATTTTTCTCCTTTAAGCTTTATGCCATAATCTGCCATAGAATATAAGTTTATTAAGTTTTCATGTTTTGAAACTTCAGAACTTTTGGCATTTTGCAAATATAAAATTGTTCATAAATGTCACTAGTTTAGTTAACCTATTATTTGTGTGTAAAATAATGTGTGCCATAATTCAATATATATATTCATTTATAATGTATGTAAAAAGATGAGGATTGATTTGTAAATTTTCAATAAAATTAATTATGCAATACAATATACATGAAGTTTGAAAGCTTAGTCTTGCTACTTTAGAAAATGATGCAGAAATCAGGCATTCTGTTCAGTAAGGAAAATGTTTAGATCCTAAATGTACGCTAGGTTTTATTACCTAATTTTGCTCTTGACAATATAATACTCTGACAATAAAAGAAACTAAGAACCCTTACTTGAATTTCAAATAGGTAATCTTAAAGAAAATCATAATAAACCATAATTTCTCCTGCATTTATGGAGGTGGTTAATAAATATTTCTTAAAGTTAAATTTTAAATATAAATTCATAAAAATGAACTAAACACTTATTGATGTTTATTTTAAATAAACAACAAAGTTTAAAAACAGTAGTAACTAATGGTAAAAAAAGGGTCATTGTTGAGGTGATTGAAAGGGATTTTTCAGTTGCCACTACCAAGTTTTAGTTATTTGTGGTGACATATAAGTTATAACACAAACCTAAAGTCTGTTATTAATTTACCTGATTGGTCTTCTACAACACAAAAAATAACATACACAATTTAAACATTTTCTTTACAAAATAAGTGTGAAACTGCCTATCAGAACTATGATCTTTCATCTCGGAGTCAAGATGTTCTTATAATTCTTCAGTGAGGTAATTTTCCTATGGTTCAATTTATGCAGAAATGAGTGTAAAAACGTTCAACAGTGCAAGAGTGTTTCATCTGCAAGGTGAGATCCATTCATTTAAGGCATGGACTAAATGAAATTAAACATAGCTAAACTACACAAAAAAGGTACTGTATGTGAGGAAGGTAAAAAAAGGGTAATTGAACTAAAGTACAGTGTACTGCAAAAGAATGTTTAGTTTCATTGATTAGTTATGATTACATTCCTCTACATCATATAAGTTAAAAACGTTCTTTACCATCACAACTTGAACAGCACTGATCTTGGGAATATACTCCATGGTCACAGTCCTTGTCACAAGAAGTAACAAAACAAGATATGCTGCCATTCTTAAGAGCAAAGAAAAAATATGTATATACAGAAAAATTACAAAGCATTAATAGAAAACAGATATTTGAATAAGTGTTTTTAAACTTGTAGGCAATCACTTCAAACAGGAGATACAGATTATTCAACACACCCACCCATATATATATATATACGTATGAACATTAGGGTTCATTTTCACAAGTCTTTAAGTAACTGTACTCCATATGTATAATTTATTATATTTAACTTCTGAAGTTTTATTTAATTAACACAAAAACCATGAAAACTGTTTAACCAACATTAAAATAAAATACTAACCAGACAAATGCACTGAACACATGGATCAGCCTCAGGCTGGAAGATATTGCCATGCTGATATGTAAAATCAACAGTCCCTGACAGAATACAGTCTGCAGGACAAGGTACAGGTTCACAAGAAACATTACCATTCTAGAAAATACCATGAGGATAGACAGAAAAATTATCTTTATTTTTTCTTACATGAAAACAGTTTGAAATGTTGTCAGAAACAATATGATCATTATACTACCCAAACAACTTTTAATTGTAATAAAAATATGCTTTATGACTAATTCTACTTAATAACATATTACCAAACTTCTTCATGAACTCTTGATCATAAGTGTGCATTTACAAAAACAAAAGTCTCTACAAGTTTTAACTGTAAGTTATCAAAACTATCTAATTATATGGTCAATATTAATGTTGATTATTTTACCTCATTACATGTTTGTTTGAAATATCTTGACTAGAACACAAGATTTTTTAACTTGAAATAAAATATTTCTAATTTAATAAATAGTAAGAATAAATAATTTAACAATATACTTTTACAGTCTTCTAATTGTATTTCTTAACTATGCTCTAATGTAATCTATCAAATACATGCACAACTGAATAACTGGCAACATAATGATAATTAAACAAATAAAACACTAAACAGTAATCATGGGGAGAAACTACAGCAAGAAAACACAACGAAAAGAAAAAAAAACAAAAAAAAAAAACGAAAAATCAGTAA